TGATTAATTTGAATACCTACCGAAATTAAGTCTCATTTTGAAGGATAAATTATTCTTTATCAAAAACGATTTCATAGTCAGAACTCAAATCTAAAACCTATAATAAAGAACGGAGGAATAGTTAGTAGTAGTATTTACCATTCTACGATAACGTGTTGCGGTACATGCACCCTTGACTTATAGTAGTTTATAAGCACTTCTACCTATTTTTCTCTCTCTATTATGTATGTAAAGCATTGCTTGCTTATCCTTTAGTCAAATGAGTGCCTTTTGGAAAAACTCAAAAGGTCTTGGAAGTTATGAACCATCCAGAAGGCACGAAACGTTCGAGTCAAGTAAAGAGATTCCAAAAAACAAGTCACATGCTTTCCATTAAGACAACTTACGAAATTTCCACAAAATTTGCAGTAGTCCCTGACCCCATATGTCCGATTCATATCAATGTCACAATCCTCAATTTAATTGTATACGTTGGCCAACAGATCTTTTTTATGGCTCTCTCATTTCTTCTTTTCTTTTTCTCTCTCTTTTTACTTTAAAAATGTGAGCTCCACATAACTTATCACATGGGTTTAGCTGCGTTGTGTACCGGGCCTGGTTCTCGTTTTTCACTCAATCACATTAGTTTATTTTTTTTTTTTTTTAAAAAAAAAACTGTTCGGTCTACAAAGTATCCTGTATTGATGCAGGAAAAAGGCCGCATTTCAAGTAGTGTGATGCAGACAGTCTACTCTAATGCAAGAATTGAAAATATTGTGACATGAGTAGAAGATGAGAAAGTTTGTTTAGGGTTTTCGTCTGTGTTTGAGAGAGAACAAACTTTTCTGTATATCTGTGAAAGAGAAAAATGACACGATGGGTCTTACAAGGAGCAATTCATTCTATTTATAGTTTGGACCTTGACCCACTAACCTGAAAACTAATGCTAAATCATACAAGAATACTACAATGTTGCAAAAATAGCCCAAACTACAAAATGGCCCACATGTACAAATTAAATAAACATTTACAGTATTAAACAAACTATAATACAACTTATGCTTTGGCTTAGAAGCTAAATACACCATTAGCTCAACACCCCCCCTCAAGTTGGAGGGGGAACCACCTTCAACTTGGTCAAGAAATGCTGATGAAGAGCACCAGGGAGGGGCTTAGTAAGAACATCAGCCAACTGATTAGAAGTGGACACATGAGAAAGGTGAATCAAACCATCATGAAGCTTGGTCCGGATAAAATGAAAATCCACTTCAATATGCTTGGTCCGTTCATGAAAAACAGGATTTCTGGCAATGTGCAAAGCAGCCTGATTATCACAAAAAATTGAAATAGGAAGTGAAACAGTCAGACCAAAATCATAGAGTAGTTTGGAAAACCAAGTAAGCTCAGCCACCACTTTACTTAGAGCCCTGTATTCAGCCTCAGCAGAAGACACGGAAACAACCGGTTGCTTTTTGGATTTCCAGCTAATGAGACAACCGCCCAAAATAACACAAAACCCTGTGACAAATCTGCGAGTGTCAGGGCAGGCAGCCCAGTCACTGTCTGAATATGCATATATAGAAAATTCAGGAGAAGCAGAGTAAAACAACCCCAAATCAACAGATCCTTTGAGATATCTCAACACATTGAGTGCAGCAGTCATGTGGGGAACCCGAGGACTCTTCAAAAATTGACTCAAGTGTCGGACATCAAAGCATATGTTAGGTCGAGTGTGAGTAAGGAAAAGAAGCTTGCCCACTAGACTCCTATACTGATTAGGGAAAGGTAAAAGGTCACCAACATCTGCATGCAACTTACAATTGAGCTCTAAAGGACATACAACAGGGGAAACATCAGTGCACTCAAACTGCTGAAGTAAATTAGAAACAAACTTCTTCTGGTTGAGTAGAACCCCACCAGGAACAAGAGAAACCTCAACACCCAAAAAATAGTGCAAGGAGCCCAAGTCCTTGATTTTAAATTGGGCATCCAAGAAATGCTTTAGAGCAGAAATTTCAACAGCATTATTCCCAGTAATGATGACGTCATCGACATAAACTGCTAAAAGAACTAGGTTGCTAGGAGCACCCTTGATGAACAGGGAATAGTCATTGAGTAAGTGAGTATATCCCCTGGAATAGAGAGCTTGGGACAACTTGTCGTACCACTGCCTTGATGCCTGTCTTAAACCATAGAGACACTTCCTCAATTTGCACACAAGAGGGGCAGAACTGGAAGGAGCATTAATAGTCAAACCTTATGGTAACTTCATGTTGACTTCCTCATCTAGATCGCCATGAAGAAAAGCATTATTCATATCCGATTGAGAAAGAGACCAACCATGCTTGATAGCTACAGCTATTAGGCATTTAACAGTGGACATTTTGATGACAGGAGAAAAAGTTTCTGTGAAGTCAACACCCTCAACCTGAGTATCCCCCCTAATGACAAGCCTAGCTTTGTACCTCTCCACACTCCCATCAGATTTGTACTTAATTTTGTAGACCCACTTGCAACCTATAGGTTTCTTACCAGAAGGCAGGGGTACAATGTCCCAAGTATGATTAGCATCCAGGGCATCAAATTCCTTTTTCATGGCATCCTGCCAGGCTGGAACTGAGGCAGCTTGAGAGTAGCTGAAAGGTTCAGTGACTATAGGTGGTACAGAAGAAGAGCCAGAAAAGGAAGGGAGTTGGCGAACATAACCCTTCAAGTAAGAAGGAGTAGTATGCTGCCTGGAGGATTTTCTAAGAGCTGGAGGATTAGGAGATGAAGGAGAAGGCACATTCTGATGAAAAGGTTGTAAAGGAGAATGCATAGGAGGAGGGATGTCAGAATTGGGTGAAGAAACAACTGAGTTAGGAGAGGAGGGAGGAATAAGAGGAGGAGATGAAGGAGGAACTGGAGGTGGAAAAGGTATAGGGTCCTGATACATGGCAGAAGAGGATAGATGGGAAGGAACAGAAGGAGTAGGAGTAGCAAAAGGGAAGCAGTTTTCATGGAAAATGACATCTCTAGAGACAAAAGATTTCTTAGTGTTTAGATTGTAGAGCTTGTATCCCTTTTTAGCAAAGGGATACCCCGGGAACACACATGGAATGGCCCTAGGTTGTAGCTTGTCTCTTTGAGGAATACGAAGAATGGCATAAGCTAGACAACCAAAGGTCCTTAAGCGGGAGTAATTGGGAGGTTGCCCATATAGGATCTCATAAGGTGACTTGTTTTTAAGGATTCTAGATGGGATTCTGTTCAACAAGTATGTATCGTTAGAAGACAATCTCCCCAAAAAGTGATAGGTAGTTTAGATTGAAACAATAAAGCACTACAGGCTTCCAGAAGAGTTCTATATTTTCTTTTAACAACCCCATTTTGCGGTGGGGTGTGTGGACAGGTAGTTTGGTGAATGATACCAAGTTGACTGAAAAAGGAAGAACCAGCAGTGCTTGAGCCAGTTCCAAAGCATTATCACTTCTAATAATTTGGACCTGTGCATTAAATTGGGTTTGGACCATGTCTAAGAAACCTTGATCGTGGAGAAAGCATTACTTTTTGATCCCAATAAATGAGTCCAGGTGGCCCTTGAAAAATCAACAACAATGGTAAGAAAATACCTTGAACTAGAGGAAGTAGGTGTATGATATGGACCCCATGTATCAACATGAATCAATTGAAAAGGTCTGGTTGTACTAATTGAACTATCAAGGAAAGGGAGTCTGGTTTGTCTAGCCATAGGACAGACAGAACAAGGAAAAGACTGCCTAGAAGAAAGAGAAGAAGACAAAACATGAATATGTTTCATATTTGCAAAAGAAATGTGTGCCAATCTTTGATGCCAAATCAAGTTCATATAATTCATAACAACATTATTACACAAGGGTGAACTAGTACTGAAAACATCATTAGAACTAGAAATAGAAACAAGTTTGCAAGGTTCAACTACATCCTTAGGACTAGAAACAGAAACAGTGTTGCATGAATTTGAAGTAGAAGAAATTGAAGAATCTGATGGTTGCACCCAAGTGAACTTGTACAGGCCATCCTCCTCTTTACCAAGATCCAGAGGCATCTTCAGAGAAGGGGAATGTAACGTATGCAGCAAACAAGAAGTAGCAGTGAACAACACTATGCAATGTAGTTGTTTGATTAGTTTACGAACAGAAATTAAATTGTGTTGGAATGAAGGGACAAACAACACATTGTGAAGTGTGATTGATGGAGTTAAAGCAAATGAACCAGTGGAGGTCACCTTCACTTTGTATCCATTAGAAGGGTTACAAGGTAGGGAATAGTTAAATGTGTAATATCAAAGAGTAATTCTTTATTAGAGGTCATGTTAACAGAAGCTCCTGAATCTATTATCCAGGAGACAGAATGAATCTGAGTAAGCAAGCAAAGTTTAGAATCAGAAACTGGACTTTTAGTTATAGAGTACCAGCAAAATTAGCAGAGCACATGAGATTGGCTTGATTATTGGAAGCATCTCGCATTTGAGAGTGACAGACTGATCAGTTGATCATACTGCTGCTTGCTCAGACCTGGGATAATAGATCCCTTACCATCAACATTGGAAATAGGATTGGTTGATTCATCTAAAATCCCAGCAGATTCACCCTCAGAATTAGTTTGTGTTGCAGTAGATACATGAGCTGCAGCCTTCTTACCCTTGTTAAACTTTGGACTTTGTGGATACCCATGGAGTTTATAGCACTTGTCAACTAAATATCCAGATTTCTTGCAGTATTTACAGAATAAAGGTGCTCTATTCTGATCAAAGTTAATTCTTTGTGCATATGGTCTGGGAGAGGTAGAACTGGGAGTTGTACTAGGATTGAAACCAAAACCAAAAGCAACAGGCCTAATTTGTGTACTAACATTAAAAGACATAGAGTCGGGATTGAATTGACAGTGGGACTGGACTTGTCTCTGCTTTTCATCATTAAGAAGAATGTTATAAGCACTGTCAAGGCTAGGAGGAGGTTGCATCATAAGAAGATTACTTCTCACCCCCATATATGTCTCATTTAACCCCATGAGAACTGAAAAAGCTTATTTTCCTCATCCTCTTCCAAAATACCAAACTTTGCAGTACAAGTACACCTTTGTCCATGGTTAGTACATATCACTCCCAACTCATCCCCTAACCTCTTCAGTTTATTGAAGTATGAAGCTATGTCTAATGCACCCTGGGAAGTGTAGGCAACTTCCCTTTTTAGTTCAATTATTTTTGTTCTATTTGCAGTCCCATACCTAGTTTGTAATTGTACCCAAATACTTTGAGCAGTTTCAGAATACTGTACACTTTCAGCTATCTCAGGGGATAATGATGTTGTCAACGATGATATTACCATGTTGTTGCACTTATCCCATAATTTTTGTTCAGCCCCAATAGTAGCAGGTCGAAGACATGTACCATCAACAAAAGCTATTTTGTTTTTAGCAGATAAAGCAACTATCATTTTTCTCCTCCAACCCCCAAAACCAGTACTCGAAAAAGGAGCAGGGACTAACGAAATTCCAGGAATATCAGATGAATGTACAAAAAGGGGACTTGAAGGATCAGGGGAAAAGGTATTAGTAGAACCCATGGCTATCACACAGTGTCGATAAAATGACAAATACAGAGAATATATTTGCAACCAAATCTCAACACAAAAATTACATGCAACAAACCCAAACACAAGGAGAAGAACGAATTTACCCAACTTCTTCGCTACCGGGGAAGAATGGCCTTCAGATAGCAGAAACCATAGCTAACCCTAGCTTCAAGAGCCGAGCAACTCAGAGTGTGAAGATTTCTTCAAATCTCAACCAAAACGTCGGAATAATTACCCTAACGCTGGTCTAGAGCATAGATCAACGAAAAATTTTGCCTTTCATAGAGAAAATCTCCGATTTTCTCGAACAATCGAAGACCAGAAGAAACCAGAAAACTCAACCAAAAATGACCGGGGTAGGATCGGAAGAACGAGCAGCTCGAGATGCACCAGGATCACTGCTGTAATACCATGAAAACATTGTGACATGAGTAGAAGATAAGAAAGTTTGTTTATGGTTTTCGTCTGTGTTTAAGAGAGAACAGACTTTTCTGTATATCTATGAAAGAGAAAAATGACCCGATGGGTCTTACAAGGAGCAATTCATTCTATTTATAGTTTGGGCCTTGACCCACTAACTTGAAAACTAATGCTAAATCTTACAAGAATACTACAGTGTTGCAAAAATAGCCCAAACTACAAAATGGCCCACATGTACAAATTAAATAAACATTTACAGTACTAAACAAACTATAATACTACTTATGCTTTGGCTTAGAAGCTAAATACTCCATTAGCTCAACAAGAATTAGTGATTGCTTCCACGGTTCGAATTCATGACCTAGGCCACACGGAGATAACTTTATCTAAACAATCTCTGGTAAAAAATTCCAAGATTGCTCTCTAAATCATCTATCCATCCTGATATCTGTATTCAAAATTTGAGGTTAGTGAGTGTGGGGTACGTACCATCAGATCGACAATATTCTGCATTTACGGTCCGTCATATTTCGTATTGAATAAAAGTTGTTCAATTATATGTAAAAAGTAATTCAAGACGTGGATAATCAAACCCGTGATTACTATACTTTATTTACAATTTACAATATATATATATATATATATATATATATATATATATATATATATATATATATATATATATATATATAACAATGAAATAACAATGAAAAGAATAAGCAATAGCAATGTAAAGAAAATTGACTTTCACACCTCCCTTTTATCCTTTCCCACCCCACCCAATATGTAGTTAAAGTGTTTATATCAACATTACATCGACTCATTTATCTTCCACCACAGTGGATTGTGTTAGGATGGAGAGAATTCCCCTATCCTTAAACAAAAGTCTTGAAAATTTGAGCACTGGAATGGAAAAAACTTGGTAGGAAATATTATTCCTTTAATGGGCTTTACACCGTACGAATCCGAATTAGTCGAGATTCCACATCGAATATCGAGTACTCATATATACCTCCTTGATATTAAAAAAAATGATAGCGCTATTTGTCCTGTAGTAAATGAGAGCAAGAATTTCAATAACACTGTTTCAATATTCTTTGTAAGTAGATACACGAATTAGCTTGAGTCGTGTTGGGCACTGTCCTAAGAGACTATTTCAGCAATGTGAAAAGTTTCCCCAGGATTAAACAAGCCCGTCACTATTTGATTTAGAGGATACAGGAATCAGGAAAATATTTATATTACAATAATCCAACAAGATTGAAAAAGAGAATAGGACAAAGAAAATTTATAAGAAAAATTGTAAATAAGAGAAGCTAATAGAGAAAGAGAAGAAGGCTAAGTAGAAAAGCACTTCTGATGGGATGATCAATGTGCAACCAAATGATTGTCACACCTCCTTTTTACCTACTACGCCCACGAAGAGGGTATAATAATAAGGGAGTTATTTCCAACTTGAAGTGACAATCGAAACGGGATTCTTTTATTAAAAATTCAGAGTCGCCACTTGGGAGATTTATGGTGTCCCAAGTCACCGTTTGAAAATTCCGAATCGAGGAAAGAATGACTCTGTTTAACAGTCCGCGAACCAGAAATCCGGGTAAGGAATTCTGTTAACCCGGGAGAAGGTGTTAGGCATTCCCGAGTTCCGTGGTTCAGCACGGTCGCTCAACTGTTATATTTGGCCTGTTATCTGATTTTAGTACATGTTTTAATCTATGTGCTTTCTAACTTTGAACCGCTTTTGTTTATTATTTTAAAGGGAATTGTAACGTCGTTAAAACACGTCTCGAACCACGTCACATAAATGCACCCGTAATTTTTGACACATTTCAACTTCGTTGGGATTTGGATTTGGGTCACATAAATGTGCACCCGAGTTTAGAAAGGTAATATTATTAAATGTCGGGCCTAAAGCAACTAGCGTATTATTAACTTTGCGGGAGGCCATGAAATTCTCTAAATGGCATGCCCCGAGGTCTAAATATTTTTATAGACGCAGTTAAGAGGGCCACGCTATTTATGCATTTTATTTGGCGCGGCGCACCTTATTTTTATTTAAGGATATCCTAAAGCGAACTATCATTTTCTATTGGGTTGTCTCTAAAGGCCTGATTACTTGATAGGCCCCAAACCTATGTTACAAAATTAATCTTAGATTGAATACGCCTTCAGGCTTTCAACATTGAATTTTTGAACTTGGCCCAACAATATAACAGTAGTATAAACTCGCTTTGTGGACTGTTCCCGCCTGGGCCTTGACACTAGCCCAATTGGGGAGAATAGGCAGGCCTGAAACCAAGCTTTGCATCAGGAATGGTGAGGTCCAAAACAAGTGGCGCGGGCTGTCAGCTCTGGGCCTATGAACAGGCCCGAACAAAATTATTGAAGTGATTCAAGCAATTAAACTCACTAATTGGGATAACACATAAAGGGAAACTCCAAATCCAAATACAACTATCAATTTAATTCTAAACTCGTTACTTAGATCTAAACTGACGAAATTTACAAACACCTAGAGGGTTTAACAACTGGGTCAATGTAATCAAACTCAATTATGACATAGAGAAGCTGTTTCGATTTCAAAACTCCAGGTTCTTGTTTTTAACAATCATATTAACTTGGCTAAATTCTCAATTAAAAGAGATGACTGGACTGAATTTAAGCGCCTTACAGCTAGAAGTAAAATTATAAACTTGAAATGTAATTCCTATGAGTTAACAGTACTTTGATCCGAAATTGAACATCTAATAGCCAAACTAACACTTACTAAACTATAATCTGTGTCACATTCAGAATAATCAGATGAATCTAAAATAGTTCGTACAGTCCAATATAAACAGTTATAATATGCCAACCAACTAATTTATAAATTTTGAATCTAGCTAAAAGGCAGTAACGAGTCTAGCCATGGAGAAACAAGTGAGCATCATTCCATTTCATTTCCAACACTCAAGAGCTACAGAAGCGTACCTGGAACCAAGGTAAAATAAGTAAGAAGGTATAGTCAGCAACTTCAACAGCAGTTCAGTAACAGGAGTCAGCAGCTTGAGATTTTTTTTTTCATAAATCCAGAAGCAATATCAACAGTCCAGGACCAATTTCAACCAGCAAACCACCCACAAACAACTTGAATAAACCCAAACTAACTCAAAATTGACCCAGGAGACTTCAGAAACTTCAGTAACTAGATATTGAGCTAGAAGATGCAACTCAACAACTAAATCTCGAAATTAACTTAAGATTTTCAATAGGACAGTATTTTTGGGAGTTTTTGTGCTATTTTTTTTGGTTTTTCTGAGGATTTTAGATCTAAAGTGAACTTGCTAGCTTTGAAGTTTCAGACTTTGTATTTGAATTTCAAGTTCAAATTTTCAGATTGCTCAAAACTTGTAGAACACTTTTTTTGGGGGAATTTTTCAGAGGCTCCAACTTTTGGGGAATTTTCAGGTGTTCAAAACTTGTGAAAGAAGGCATGATGACTGCCTTTTATAGGCAGGAAAGGGGGAGGAAGCTTCTAGAATTCATTCACTCATTTTTTCCCTTTTTATTTTCAGATTTTGTTCGTTAGTCCTAAAGTTTTGACTTGTTGCCTAAGTTATTACCCTAAGTTCCTGAAACTACAATTGAGGCCCTATTTTAGAAGCTTCTAGGGTGTTCTATTTTAACCCATAGCATTTCTGCGCCACTCTAAGTACCTAAATTACCCTTGAACTCATACTGAAATTACTAGCCTAGTACAGCTATAACCAAACAATTATTTAACTAGGGTTAACTAAACTAAGCCCTAAATCAACTAGGCAAGAACACCAGCAAAACTTAACTAAACCCTGAACATGGAATTACTAAAGCAATTACTGAATTAAACTAAACTAATCAAAACTAACAAATCAAACACTGAAAATCAAAATCAAACAAAGTCTAAACAAAATCGACTAGAACAGATAATAAAGGATTAGAAACTATAGCACTGAACACTAAATTGAAACAAAACATGTATCAAGACGAATTCAACAACAACAATTAAGCTAAAACCTAGAATAACCAAGACAAGTTTAAACAAATCAAACAAAATCAAACTAAAAGCTAAAAACAATGACAAGAGCAGAATGAAACAAATATTGAACAAAATCGAAACAGAATCGAACGAAGACTTACTGATTTTTGGCCTTCGACTTGGCTAATCTCGAATTTGATTTTCAATTAGTGTTATATGTTTATTTTGTCCAAAATAGACATATAAAATTAATTAGAAACCAACAGAAATGCTTGAAATTCCTAAAACGGGTTGACAACTTCGAACCCTAGATTTGAAATTCGCGGAATTCTGCTTGGATTTGAGGGATTCTGGCTTGGGATTTGGAAATAGGGAGACCAGGAGAGTCCATGGTGTGAAACTGGGGTCATTTGGTGGTGGCGCCGCCGTGGGCGGCGGAGGCGGCGCCACTGTTTTGGATATTCGAGGGGCTAGGCCAACATTCGAGGAAAAATATTTAGGGCATTGGGAAGTGGAGGAGGAGAGGATTTGATGGTGAAAATTTGGGTGGATTTGGAGCTTGACCGCCGCCGTG